CCTCTTCCATTAACAGTTTTTTTTTAAGTTTATTTTCTAAAATATTTTGCACCTTCTTTTTTACAAGTTTATGAAATATACCAACAATAGGTTATCTATATTTTAATTTTTAACTCTGCTGTCGCAAATGGACAAAGTAGATTTGTAATTCAAATTATTCATTTAAAAGGAATCAGAAAACAAATAATGAAAGGTTTATTTTGCGTATGTTTTGTTGGATTGTGTTAGGAACGTGAAAGCAGAATATTGTCTATGCATAATTCATTGGATATATCCCTTGTTTAACAGTGTATATGAGAAAATATCTCATTGTCAATGTCTGTGGGATCCTTTTTGATCAAATTTGTTGGAAGAAAAATCCCAGAGGGAGAATAAACCCATCTGACATGGCTAATTCATGTTCATGTAGTTCATGTAGTAGTTAGGATTTAAAATCCCACCTTTCTCCAATAGGATTTTCTGACTTTCATGACTTCATATCTGTAGAAAAGGAGATGTTTGTGAGTTCAGCATGAGACCACATGGCACTGCTTAGAAATCTCACCAAGTGTTAGAAACCCTTTTTGGGCATCACAATTGAAAATGGTAGTAAAAAGTTTGGACAATTTCGTGTCCGGAGTGGAATTTCCTACTGTTTATATCTATGTAAGAAACTGTTTCAATTATTCATCATATCAAATAAATAGACCAATAAAAAAAAGTCTGCCGTTGTGGGTGTTTGAACCGTGGACCCTTGGATTGTTGAGCGGGTGCTGACACCCGTTGACCATTACAACTTACACTTTACGTCCACTTAATTTATACTTAATATATACTAGATACATGTTCTATTTTTAAAAATTTAGAATCTTATATCAGCAGTAATTTTGAATGATACAACCTGGTTTATTAGGAATATTACTGAAGTATGAAATTGATAAAAAGTAATTTTAACAAAAATATTTGCCAAAAAATGTTTTTGTCAAACATACTTCCTGTTTTGGAAGTAATTATCTGAAGCCATATTTGTTTTGTTAGAGAATAAGAGACATTAAAGAGTATGCTCTTTCTGACTGTTCTGCAATGTAAGTAATATTGTGGCATAAGATATATTTTACACATGCATGGCAATGCAGTGTATGTGAGAATGTGAAATATTTTGATCATTTTAATGATTTCATTGCATTAAATGATTGATTCATTGTTTATGAAAAATTGTCAAACATTTCAGCTATAATAATAATGTTTCTATTACAATTATTTCTCAAAGAGATAAATCATAAATATACATTATAACGAAGTAATTTATTGTCAAATTACAATTTATTTCCTCAATATAACACTTCTACAGCCGAATTTATTTTTAAAAACTGAAACCTTTACACTTGATATATATAGTAAAATATGATGATCATTATTGATGACAGGTTGATGTGAACCTTATATAACGTCACCAACTGATTCAATTATAACATCCTCTGTTTAAATCCTTACTTAGGTTTGTGACTCACTGGTTCCCTTTTCCTATTTCTGTTCAAATGTAGTGCGTTACTGTTCTGTAGCTTTATTAGGTTGGTACCACTCGCACAAATGGGATATAATAGCCCGTTTTGGATATGATATCACAGATATACTCAGGGACTTTAAAAACGCCTATTGAAATTGTTCTTATTGTCATTGGTATATTATGTTACATGCTGTAGGAAATTTATTAGAATTCATAATTTTTCCATGAAATGTCTTCATTTCCAATACAATCAACGATTTTTTTAACCGAGCTTTTCCGAGGCAAACAGTTAAAATTACACTGTCAACAGTTTTTGCCGTTTTGATTAGCAACGTGTATGACCACAATTTTAAATGCTCTCAAGCGGGACCTCATGGATTGGCATACATCTCAAATTCGTCTCATAGGAATGTTATTCCACTCTTCCTATACAGCCTGTGCTAATTCTGGCACGCTTGCGGGTTGGCGTTGACGTCTTTTTCAACATCTTCCAAGCTCGTCCCACGTGTGTTCGATGGGATAAAGATTGGGAGATCGAGCTGGGAATTCCAAGATATTAACTCCAAAGGTGTTTAAAACGTCGTCTGTCGATGATATTGATACATGTCAAAATGATTAAAACAAAATACAGAGGCAAAGTGTTATAAAATCTAAATTGTGAATTTGTTTCACAGGTCATTTTATATAGGCGTATATAAATTTACAGTGCAAAATATGACAAATTTTATTTCGGCACTTCATATTATAAATCTGCATCAAAATACTTGAAAAGGGGTTAAACTTTTGGCGAGCAAGTTTTTTCTGCAATCCTAAAGTTTGTTAGATTCTTCCCCAAAGAAGTTAAGGGACTTCTGAGTGATCAATTTCCCAAACAATGGGCATACAGAAAAACTTGTCAACCAAAAGTTATTCCTTTATACGAGTAAGTATACTGATACAGAATTAGGATATTGACATCTAACATAAAATTTTCATTTTTTGCACTGTAAATGTATATCCCATTTGGGATATAATAGTGGTCCCAACCTGTTTAATGCTACATGCTTTATCAAACGTAAAAGCATCATACATGTAGATCTAAATTTTGTTACATTTAAGATGAAAAGATATAAAAGATCCATATTACCAAATATGAAGTTCAGTAATTAGAAGTTCAGTTATACATAACAGATAAATCTGTCTGTTCGAAAGAATGATAAGAAGATGAAGATAAAGGAATTTTATTCTTTCTTATGCATTTCAATGGTCCATGTAAAATAACGAAACCAAAATATCTTCATTTATTACAAAATTATCCCATTTTGAAATTAGTATGTCTTCAAAATAAACCATCAGAGTACGGAAGCCCAATAGTGCAAACCAAAAATTTACAAAGAAAAACGAAATTAATATATAAAGAAAAACGAAATTATTAAATAAAGAAAAACGAAATTAATATATAAAGAAAAACGAAATTATTAAATAAAGAAAAACAAAATTAATATATAAAGAAAAACTAAATTATTAAATAAAGAAAAACGAAATTAATATATAAAGAAAAACGAAATTATTAAATAAAGAAAAACGAAATTAATATATAAAGAAAAACGAAATTATTAAATAAAGAAAAACGAAATTAATATATAAAGAAAAACGAAATTAATAAATAATGAAAAACGAATTTATTATATAAAGAAAAACGAAATTATTAACGAAAAACGAAATTATTATATAAAGAAAAACGAAATTATTAAAAAAGTAAAACGAAATTATTAAATAAAAAGGAGAGTTATCACACAAATACTTCAATCTATTGTTTGAAGTAAATTGTCAATAATTGTTTAACGGTATACGTAATTTGTTAATGTGTGGCATTATGCAAAGGATCATGAGGGTGGCTGTTTCTGCTTGATTAAAATTAATGACATCCAATTCAAAAGAGAACTTGAATCGCAAAAGGTCAACCTTGTATACTGATACAGAATTAGGATATTAAATCTTAGATTGTTTAAACTATAAAATTTTGATTACATTTTTTTACAAGAGTGTGCATTGTTTGTTCACAAATATCACCGTATATACACAAATTGAGAGTTTATCATTTAAAATATATGATATAGTACCACTGACTTATAAATAGTACAGATTGAGAGTTTGACATTTATAATATGTGAGAACAAGTACTGTAGCCAGTACATCACTTTATCATAAGACCAAGGAATCAAAAGCGATTTGCTTTACTTCTAATATAGTAAGCAATCATTAAATTTTGTAACCTCTTTGACTTGTTTTACTTTTTGCACATGTTCTCTTTAAATTTTTTATAATGTCAAACAAACCCAAGTATTATTTTACAGCATTTTCTAATGAATGTATTGTGCGATAGTTGAATAATGGATAAGGGAATTTCCTTAATGTTAAAAATTCAACAATTACGAGTTGTAAACAACGGAATCTTAACGTTATACAAAGGTTAAATCTGTGAATTGTAATGGATATGTTTTCGATGTAGGAAAAGGTTAATGTAAAAGCAAACATCTCGCTCGTTTATTGTCGAAACAAAATCAGGTCCATCAAGATGCGGTGCACTAATGATTTATGGAATTTTAACTCCGTATTTTCTACTTTCAATAATTTCGTTTTTCTTTATATATTAATTTCGTTTTTCTTTATATATTAATTTTGTTTTTCTTTATATATTAATTTCGTTTTCCTTCATTTAATAATTTCGTTTTTCTTTATATATTAATTTCGTTTTTTCTTTATTTAATAATTTCCATATATAAAATTTCGTTTTTCTTTATTTAATAATTTCAAATATATTTTCGTTTTCCTTTATTTAATAATTTCGTTTTCTTTATATGTTAATTTCGTTTTTCTTTATTTCATAATTTCGTTTTTCTTTTTATATATTAATTTCGGTTTTCTTTATTTAATAATTTCGTTTGCACTATTTGGCTTCCGTATCAGAGTGCATTGATAGTTTTTGCATAGTATCTCAGATGAACTTAAAAACCAAAAACAATGATGATCATGATCTTGCTTCTAAACTTTCAATCCCTTACCTGTATTTTAAATACTTTAAAAATGAGTTATCAATCCCCCAAATTCTATTTTGTATTATTTTACGGATTTTTGATCTTGAATACTGTTCCCTTCATTTTTTTCTTATAACTTTTAAGACAAATTCAGTTATCTTCATCTTCTTATCTTCATAAATGTTTTTTTCCAAGCATTTGTTATATATGTTGAATGCGATTATAATAATAAACATTTTTGATAATACTTTAGATATATAAAAATATGCTTGAACATGAACAGAAACAAAAAGATGAAATAAGCATACAGTGTACGTATTATTTTAATAAAATACTACAGTATTTTAAGGCAATTCTCATGTAAATGAACCAACTTCAGTTTCTCAGTTATAAAAATAGTGTTAGTGCTTTGAGTTTTGAAAATAAAAATTTGAATTTTTAAAAACAGGAGAATTTTTATGGCTTCTAGAATTACATTTTTCCACTTACAGGCTTTGAAAAAATGATGACATATTGGAACCGGCAAACCTCACTAGCTGTTATACTCTGTATTACAATGACTTCCTCTGGAAAGGTGTGGAACCAGGACACAACCCTGTCTGATTTCAACATCACTCATTTAATGCTTTACAGCATACTCTATTGTGGAACTGCAATAGTTTGCGACAAATCTTTTCTAAAGATTTTCGACATACCAAACCAAAGCAATTTCAACGCATCAAGATGCGGACCTTGCTCATGTGACGAAAAATGTTTATCTCCTTATTCCTTTGAGCAATGCTGTCCAGATGTTTTCTTTAGACATGGACTTCGAGAATGTAGGGATGTAAAGGTTTTATTGAATGAAACAAATTTGAAAGAAGTAGTTGCTTCATGTCCTGTAGGAACCAACCGTAACTTATCGACAGAATGTACAAAGGAACGATCCAAAGTCGAAATGCTTCTTTATCCGCCATTGACAAGTGGCACCAAGAACATTTCATACATTAATAAGTACTGTGCTTCTTGTAACAATGCATCTTTATTAGAAGAATGGAATGTGAACATTGAATGCGAAAAGAACACAGATTTCAATTTTCTTTCATCGTATCAAGAAATAATAGATTTGGCAATTAAGCAGTCATGTAGAATAGTGTATATATCCCCAAATTCTGCTCGACATTGTTCAAAGAATTATGATCAAATAATAGCATCATGTAATGTCACCGGATCTTGGCTATTTCATGACAAACAAATCGAGCGAGCGTGTCTAAGCTCTTATGATACTTATACTGGTATCTTTAAAAACATTTTCTGTGCCATTTGCAATCCACCTAAAATGGAAGAGCATATAGTGATAAAACAATGTGAAAATACAAGCAGCTTATACAATAAAGCATGCTCTTTTCAACCTTTATTAGAAGCATCGTTTCCGTACAAGAATTACTTTTGCTTTGTTTGTAACCATGGTGATAACAACACAGATTATTATGCTGATGTTGATTTGATGTCAGTCTATGAGAGCTATGATGAAGGAAGAATGTATCCGTTTCAATCCACAATATCGTTTAATTACAGTCTTACTCATTTGAAGAAATACATCGATGAGATTGTAAGAAAATCTACTGTAGAAAATACAACAACTATGAAAGACACCTTCTACAAAAAAGACCATCTGTTAAAGTGCCCCACACAATCCGACTATATATTTCCTCCTATTGGAGCCCCAGGAGGTTTTCCTCCTATTGGCCCCCCAGGAGGTCGCTTTGATTTACAACCAACATCTGCTATAACTCCTTTTTCATTCAAGAGAGCATTATCTCCAATGGATAGTAACCTTTCCATAAACATTACAAATATTTTTCTGACAAGCTTTGCATTTTCAGGACATGGTGCCTGCAAACCAGGATTATTGCCGAACTACACCACTTCACTACAAAAACCCTGTTCATGTGACGTAGGATGCCGAGGAGACTGTTGTGATGATTTCGCTTTCTCACAGCCTTGGACTTGTATTGGTGATAAATTTTACAGGGATGAAAGTGCTCAAGACAAAGATTACTTGGCGATTGGTGGATGTATTGAGAATCAAAGTCTAAAACATTTTTGCAATGGTGGCAATGCATCACAATTTTATCAGGCTTTTCCTGTGACAAAAAGATACAAAGAATCCTATGTAAATTTGTTTTGCTATTTATGCAACACGAAAGCTCAAGACGGAATACACATTGTTGAAAACGTGACAAAGGATTTATATGTTTGGCCTTTGAAGGTTGATTGTATTACATATATAAACCACAGAAACTTTCAATCATTACAAACACTCATTGACCATTTCAAGAGGAGTTCCTGTGTGTTGAGGTTTTCACCGCCCGCTGATGCTGCTAAATGCAGTGATAACTGTCATCAGGGACAGTATAGCAGCATTCAAACCTGTAACGTGTCAGGAACGTGGACAACATTTAACCAAGATATCAAAACCGCTTGTGAATTGACAGAAATTTTTAGATTTCCTATGATTGAAGTACAAGGTAGTTATTATAAGAATAAATTTTGTAGCATTTGTAACCCTTTTCCTGAACCATCCATTGCTGATATTTGCAGAGATTTTCCCGAAAATTCCGTCGAATCAAGAGCTTGTCGAGAGTTACCTGATATCAAAGTTTGCTATCCTTATAAGAATGCTTTCTGCGAAATGTGCAATAATAATGGAGATATTATAGAGTGCTACGAAGAAGTATTAGTCTTACCGTATTTTCCTGGGCCAACTCCAGTACCCCCTCCTACGCCCCCTGGAGAAATTGGAACATATAGGTCTACATTTACACTAACAGCTTACGACTCCCCACACACTATCCAAGAAAAATACATATCGTGTGAGCAGAATCAGGTCTTGGATGAGTTTCAGGTAACGTTGTTTCTTCCTTATTTGTAAAATACTGGTAACTACAGTTAACATTCTTGGTCTTCATGCATACTCTGATAAGAGTGATACGTATGATAATTGTTTTATAACCTTCAATATCAAATTGAAAGACAATTATTGCCCTGCAAGTTATGCTGAATTTGCATGCATTTTCATTTTTTAAAAAAGAAAGATTTCTTTTTGGACGCCATAGTATAAATGCAAAGGTTTTGTTTTTTGTCACACGCTACAAGTGACCCAGGATGAAAGTCTGCCATGCAGTTAACTGAAAGATGACTAAAACTATACTAAAATTTTACTGAAAATTTACTGAAGGGGGACTAAAATTCTACTGATGGGTGACTGAAATTTTACTGAAGGGTGACTAAAATTCTACTGAAGGATGACTGAAATTCTACTAAAAGTTGACTGAAATTTACTTAAATGTATCCAAATGTCTACTGTAGGGTGAATGAAAATGGGTCTTTCCATACCTTTCAATGATCATCCGGTCGACTGATTCGTGAACGTTCATCTTGTGTGAAGAGTCTTAATTAGACCAGTGCTGTGGATCTAACCACTGTGTGCAGGGTTCAATGCCCACCCTGAGCATGGACTCAGTTTTTCATATCGTATTGAAAACCCATTTTACTTTTTTTTTAATTCCTTGTAGTTGAAGCTAACGTTACTCTTTACTCAAAGCGATTGTTGATCTTTCCTAGTTTTGACCACCCTACGCTGAAGTAATTCTTGTGTAGTGGTGATTAAAAATAATAGAAAAGCCCTGGTACATAATGGACAGAGAGTGAACCTTACCCAATTGTTATTTCATTCTTTAAAGATTTTCTTTGAATGATTTCTAATGTTAACAAATTAATTTATTAATTAATTGAATTACTTCACATGTGTGTATTTTAAAAATATGCTAATTCTTTGTAGTAATCTTGTGAAATGCATGCACATTTCTTTTCTGTTTCAGCGTGTATGCAAGAACTTGACATGCTTTCCTGGCAAGATCTTGATAAATGATACGTGTATCTCATTGCTGGCTCTAACATCTCAGCTGCGTTACACTCTAGCTTTGAACATAGAATTTTATACATTTGACAGGATTAATGCAACAGTGAAAGGATTGATGGAATATATGAAAGATCAAATTACAGACAATGTGGATAATTTATTCAATACTGAAGTCCTTATTGAGGATATTATACTAATGAGTTTAACCAGCTGCAAAAATGAAATTGCTGATCTGAAAGAAGTGTTTGTGTACCTGAAAGTTTTCCTCCTTGATAGAGTTCATCGCGATATGTTAGAGAAGACTTTAATAAACTTAACTGAATCTCCTGCTGAATGGAGTTTTATCAACAATTTATTCCCGTCCTGGAATACATCTGTATTGGACATCAGAGTTTCCAGAAGTCACCAGTCCTTGTTTTTGCCGTCATTTTTATGGAAACTTGACAAAGCGGTCAATTGCTTTGTTCTTTCAGATGAACTGAAGCATGGGCCAGCATTATACAGAAATGTGTTGGTAAGCCCACTGTTGACATGTCCACAAATTATTCTGAGAAATAAAGAATTTGGAGTTGATTGGAAAAACATCAGAACTGAATATACTTTTTCAGAATTTTCTCTTTCCTCTCACCAGTTTGTGTCTTCAGAGGGTGGTGGAATAAGGTTGTGCGCCAAGGAGATACCAAAATACGTCAATGCATTGAGGACAATGATGGTGAAAAATGATAATCTGGCCCTAGCAAATGTTACTCTTGTATGCATTATCATATCTTTGCTCTCCTTGGTAATAACATTTATAACATACTGTATGTTTGCAATTCTTCGAACTCTCCCAGGTATTAACAATATGTGTTTAGTTGTATCTCTATTCATGGCGCAATTACTAATGATAGTAAGACCATCTATTAGTTCTACAGGATTAGCAGTAATATCTGCCTTGTCGCATTTTTCCTGGCTTTCCACGTTTTTGTGGCTCCAGGTTTGTTCTTTCCACATGTATCGCGTCTTTGGTGCAAAAAGCCGATCAGATTTCTACGGTAATCAAAACAGAAAAATCTTTATTCAATACTTCCTTTACGCTTTTGGTAGTTCTTTACTTATTGTCTTGTTCAATATTTTTGTGACGTTAATTGTCACAAAAGGTGAATATACAGGATATGACAAAGCGTCAACGTTAATGAAGTACAAACTAGCATTTATTATAACGCTTATAATTCCTCTGTGCTTTGTGTGTGTGACAAATGTTATATTTTATATTTTAACCGCCTATAAAATACAATCAACTCCTAGTATAGAAAAAACGACTGGAAATAGGGTCCATTTTGCCGTGTACGTTAAGCTGTTTTCCCTGACCGGTCTGTCGTGGATTTTACAGATAATAGATTCATTTGTGGCTATCTCCGTCTTATCCTATTTTGTCGCTATTCTTAATGGCTTACAAGGCTTGTTCATTTTTCTGAGCTATGTTTGCAATCAGAGAGTATGGAATTTGTATAAGAAAAAACTTCGCAGTTTGCCCGTTCAAAGCCAGAGGTCCACTCTCACGTCTAAAACAGATACAACATCAATATAATACTGTATACGGGATCACTAGACATCCAAACGCTTACATCTATTTTTGAAAAGATACAAAAGCATATATTCTTATTTTAGGAACAAGCCGTGGGTGCTCTTGTCCTTACTGGTAAAGCTTTGATTGTGTAAAAAAGGAAGGATAAGATATCTAAAGCATACCAATTTTCTTTGATCAATTGGTCTTAATTCGATGGCAAGTTTGGCCTCCTAGGATGTTTCTATCACCCAGTGGAATACAATACATGGATGAAAATATATACTGTTATACTGAAAATATTTTTGCTTTAGTGATGTTATTATGTTTTATCTAATAAACTTGATTTGGAAATATTGAAACATTTTTTTTTTCATTACTCAATGCATAGTAATGATTGCATTGAACAAATGCATGACGGTCTATTTGTAACCATATTCATGATCAGTTCAACTTAATAGGAATATTGCTATACATTATTATATTTTTTATTCTAAATGAACAACTTCAAGTCATAAACTGTAGTTTCTACATTAAACATTTATTGGAGATTTAATATTATTTTCATTGTGTTGAATTATTCAATATACACCTTGTGTACATAATTGTATTGATGATTCATAATATTCGGTATTTTTAGGTCTGCAATACGCATTCGGTTTACTGTAAATTTTTGCACCATGCGTATCTCATTGCATAATTCTGTGAAATTAAGATTTTATAATGGTTTCTGCTATATGTGTTTCTTTCTATTACCTGGTGTGATTAATTATGTTTGGTAGATGTCATTTATACTATGAGTTGACATATTTTGATTTCTTCGTCATTTATTTATACGAGGGCCTTTCAATTAATAATTACCTGAGCTGTATGACATACAATATAGAAATCATATGACATTAATCTTGACCTTCTCCTTTGATTTAATCTTTAATGAATTGATTACAGTTGATGTGATCACTTTTCGTCCCATATTTTCATTGTGAGAAGCTGGAAAACAAGGGCTATTCGAGACACTGCATTAAAAATGAATGGTAAAGAATCAGTAAACTAGAGTGAAATTAAACACTTATGAAAAGCTGCTGTACAATTTTTTAAGAATCCAAAGAAATATGAAATGAAATATGTGAAATTTACAATAATTAATGTCTGTTTTATAGACACATGGGCAGGTGGATTTCAATGAACAAAAATGATATAATGGGCATTAAAATTGGGTACCGTCCTTGGCGACAAGGACTTACAACAACCAATGTACTTTTGGCCAAAATTCAACAAATTTTCACTGATGATGTTTAATTGACTTTAAGACACATAGCAAATTTAATAGTCATCATTTTGGCGATAGATCATACTGTTTCAAAGAAGCAATTGACAGTAAAAAAGCTTAATATTCAATGGTCACCCTATGTTTTGAAAAATGAGTGAAAACGACAGCGTGTAAGAATATCAAAACAATTATTTTAAAAAATCAAAAAGTGTAGTTATCCACGTTTGTCTGAAATTCAAACAGATAATGAAACTTGAATCCATTGCTTTAAACCCTCAAACCAAATTCACAATTAGATGCAATTGACAAAAACAGCAAAGGTCGGAGAAGAGCAAACAACTGCAAGAGCATAAAGGCAGTTTTATATGCCAGTGTCTTAGATATTAGCGGTCTTGTTGTTCAAATTCTTATTGGCGGAGGCAGTTTAATTTCTTGAGGAGTCTAGAAAGGAAAACATCGAAAGGTTTTTGAGAGGAAAGAACCAGAATCAGGTATCCACTACATTAAAATGCTTCATGACAGCGTCCAAACCCACACCCTATGAAGAGTAAAGGCGTCTTGGGGATAAACAGAGAGTTGATGTTTTATCACACCAACAATATTCGCCAGATCTTTCATCTTTTGACTTGTTTCATTTTCCAAACTTGAAACACCTTTCAGAAAGAAAAAACAAGTACAGAAAATCAAAGGATCTGCCGGTAAGACCCAGTAAACAAAGGGTCATACTTATAAATCTGTTCTAAAAACAATCAGAAATTGAATAAAAATGTTACGGACATGTGTTTTATTAAAAGACAATGTTTTAGTGAAATTATCAAGACTAAATCATTGGAAAACTTTTTTGTTTCTATCCGAGCACTCTTGCAAATAAATGACCATTCAATTCCAGCCTTGTGTTTCATTTGTGAAGAGAATATATTAGGAATCCATAAGTACACATTTTATAACATTGTTCTGTTGTGTCTACTATGGGCTACATCTGTCAAGCCAACAATATATATATTGAATTTAAATACTTTTTTCTTGCGAACACCTTTCTATTGATTGAATAGCTGCCATCGATAATAGAGGGATAGGATCGCAAGTGCATGTTGACAATACAATAAATCAACCAGAAATGTTCCACACGTTTGTTTTTTAAATATATGTATCTAGGAGTGTATTTGATAGGTGTATTGCAAATGAGAAGCAATTGCAAAACGAAATGTCTGAAATATTCGGAGATTTGGCAGTGGATCTATTGAGGAAATTTCTGCAATGGTTTTGGAGATCCATGATATCAGCTACAGGTGATTTTTTGAAGGGGGTAGATCACTTAAAAATTTGAGATCTTTATATTTTTTTAAATCTCTTTCTTTTTATTTTTATTATATTTATTTATTTTCTTTTGACCAGAAAACAATCCGAAGGTTTTAAAAATAAAAGACGTAGAACAATTCTTCCCGAGATATGCTCGGCATTTAAAAGCTGCTGAACGTATTAACAGAGATTTGTTCTTGAACACTGTGAGAGTTCCAGAGTTAGTTTTAAGCAATGACATTTCAAGAATCTCAGAAAGCAGAGAATATTCTAAATTGCTTGTAGCTGCAACATGTATAGAGAAAGGTAAGAACCTGACTACAAACTACTTAAAATTCTCATTACTTATGGAAAAAATGCATAAAATTTTTATACTAAAATGAAAATTAGACGAAGCGACTTGTTTTTATAGATTGACGATGGTAACGTTATTTTTACTTTAGATTTAAGAACACTTAGAAATTACGTTCTTCTGCACTTCGTGGGTGCCGAGAAAACGAGTCTTATGGTCCAAAAGGAAATAGAAAATGTAAGGTTTTTTCGTCTCTGATATATCATTATAAAATATATAAGAAAATATTATCATTTTTACCATCAAGTTTTCTTGTAGCAGCTAAGTGAATAACATCCTCAGCGTACAGAATAGTTATTGAATGTGGATCGAGTAAAATACAAAATATGATGACTATATTATGAAAATAAAGATATTAGAAACTAGGGGTACTTTGAGCAATGAGCAATGACATTTTTTGAAAGACTTTTATGGAAGTCAAATTGAACAATATGATATTGCACTATAATAATACATATAAATTATGCCGCTAAATATCAAAGACGTTACTTTTTCTCACAAGAAAGACAAATCATCTCTTCAAAAGTTATGTCCAAGGTTAATGTTTTTTAAAAGGAGGTTTAACTCCAAGGTTAATGTCAAAGGGTCAAAATTGTTGGTATCCAATAAAAGGTCTTGTCACAAGGATGACAAATATGAAGTATGAAAGCCCTTACCTTTCCAAAGTTATAGTCAAGGTCAAAGTATTTTAAAAGTAGATCAATCCCTAATGTCAAGGTCAAAAGGTCAAAGTTGTTTGTATCTATTGGAGAGTCTTGTCACAAAACATACATTTGTGAAGTATGAAAATCCTAGCACAACCGTTCAAAGTTATGACCAATATAAAGGTTTGGTATTTTTGTGTAAAAGTGTGTCAGACACCAAGGTCAAGGTCAAACGATCAATGCAAAGAAATGTCTTGTCAAAAGTAATACACCAGGGAAATATGAAAGTCATAGATTCAGTCATAAGTTATGGGCAAGGTTAAAGTTTTTGCGGACACACATACAAACAGACAGACAAGGCAAAAGCTATGTACCCCCAAATCTTCCATTACGGGGGCATAAAAAATATACGTATAAGAATATTTCGTTTTGACAAGTAGGTGACTTTTAGGTTAAGTAAGCAACAAGCAAAATATTTATGCCCCCGGATCGAATGATCCCGTGGATATATTGTTTTTGTCCTGTCTCTCTAGCTGTCTGTTTGTCTGTTTTTGTCTGTCTGTTGTCAACTTTAACCTTGTCCATAACTATTGAGTGGGTGAGACTGTGGCTTTCATATTTCTTAGGTGTATTCCTTGTTAATCATGTTATTATCTTGTTACCATAGCTTATCTCTTCATGAAATAACTTTTTATGTTGTAGATTATTTCTCTTTCACCAAATGCTCTTTGGAGGGTAATTGTTCTGAAAAAAGACATGGATATCCATACTGAAGACAAATGTTCATTAGTTCTTTTTGACAAGACTCGTGAATGTTGGGAATGTTTGACCTCTGCGTTAGAATTACACCTTATACAAAAGATACAATCATCCATAAGTGAAAAAGACGATGAAAACAGCCAAGATTGGACACTGTTGCTGAATAGATTGCATAGCTGCTCTGTGTTAAAGAAGAAGATAAAGAATATAGCTTTGTTACCACCAGGTCTAGAGGATGCACTTCAGAGGTGAACTTTGACGTTTTTTTAAGTTTGTATGTGTTATTTGGAGTTGAGAAATGAATTTGGTAAATAGACAGGCCTGTGTTTGGGTGTACGTTCATGTGGATATGCAGATGGAAAGACGAATGGGTTAAAATTTAAAGAATAGCATTTTTTCTTCTTCCTTAGATGTTTCAGAATCGACCAGCTTTACTAAAGTTTAAAAGAATTATCCACTGTCCCTTTTGATGGGAAATTTGAATAGATGTTTGAAAAAGCTTAATTTTTTACTAAAAACAAACCACATCTCTAGAAAAAAAAGTGTGCTGTTACATCCCGAATAAGTGAAGATAAAGATGCACATTTATTCAAATGGAGGACAAAACATTTAATGGAAATACATAAGACAAATTAAAAAATATTCTTAAGAATATCACTGCTATAAAAACAATTGTCCTTATTTAGTACATTACTATTCATTATGCTGAATTATTTTTAAATTATCAATAATAACCTAGAAGTTGAATTATTTTTAAATTATCTATAAAAAGTTCCAAGAATAATGGAAAAAATGTTTTTTGTTTTACACAGAAAATTTGAACCTCTTCATGAAGGAAAAGGATTAATGATTGAAATAAAATTATTAAGGGACTCTGACCCTCAGCCAGGAAGGACAAATCTTTAATTTATAATTTAATTCAAAAAGTCTTTAAATTTAGCTTGAAAATTAAATATTTTCATGCAACAATTTTCATTATATGCCTCTCAGTGTGCTTCAAGGTTCTTTGCAAAGCTCCATAAATCACTTCTATTTTCATATCATGTTAATAAACATTGGTATCTAAAAATGCTTTTTCGAAAAAAAATTCTACTTTTAATTAGATCTTTCTGAGAAGTTCAAAGAACCCTGAAGCACATTGAGAGGCATATAATGAAAATTGTTGCATGAAGATATTTAATTTTCAAGCTTCATTTAAAGACTTTTTGAATAGTTGTCCTTCCTGGCTGAGGGTCAGAGTCCCTTAAAGAAAGGGCTACATGTATAATAAAGTGTATAAAAAGCAAACACTTTTAAATAATTATGTTGTCTATTTACACAATAACGGTGTCCTTGTGCAGAGTGGGGCTTTACAGTGTCAAACAAAACGAAATAAGACCACTTTAAAGAGAAATACCCCCTGCTCTGTTTTGACATAAAACATACAAGATTCCTCATCGGTTAGAGTTGTTTACATACCATGTAAGCAATTATGATCCATTTGGAAGCTCATTACAAAATTACAGCAATTTTACTGAAACCTTCTATTCATAAATTTCAATAGATGTACACATAATATTTTTCATATATATTTCAAAGTATGTTCGCTAAATGAGGGAGTAGAATGCTTTAAGGAGAAAAACTGTTTTAATGTCTTTAAAGTTGAAAAAAGAAAAATTAAAATTATTTAAATTTAAAACTTTATGTAAAAGAAGTTAAACTTATTCAAGGAAGAAATCTGTACATATTTATCTAATATTCATTCTCATTTCAAATGCATATATTTCGCGAAAGTCCGTCATTTTAATATACAATTATTAGAATATAAAAGATAAAAATTAATTATTTGACTTACTATATAAATCCTATACCTGTAATAACATGAATTAAATTTATTTAACAGCAATACAAGCAGTATTGTCAGATATGGCTTCATTCATAACGAGTTCTATGTCACTGTCAGAAATGGTCATGAAAACAAAATTCGAAAAGAAATCCAAGAAATTCTTTCTCATCATTCAAGTGCTTTCAAGTACACTCTCCATACTGAAACAGAAAGTGACGTTTCATTTTATACTTGTTCTGCACAAGGACAGAAACTTTTCCGATCTCTTGAAGAACATAGAAAAGGGCGATATGGTACTCTTGGTTGCACTGCTCTACTAAACGACGAGAGCCCAATTGCATTCACCTGCAGTCATGTTTGTGTGGAAGGAACGGATGTCTTCATTGATTCCGACGGAGAAATTGTGAAGTTAGGGACTTGTGTTCATAGTACAAATTCAGGACAGTGGCTAAATATTCAAAGTGACCTTTCTATTGTCAAAATAACAGGTGAAGAACATGAACTGGGGTTTCCAATAAAGAAAGCGATGCGAGATATAAATGATGAGGAGCGAACAGCATCCCTCTTACAACCACCAAAGGAGATTGAAAGTCTACAAAAAGAACACGTTTATAAAAAAGGAGCATCTACGGTCTGGACCAAGGGGAAAATAGTGGGGAGTCAGAAGTTTTCACCAAGCTGGAAAGAAGCTATTTTAGTCCAAAGTCTTGAAGAAAATGGAGCTTTCGCCCTACCAGGAGATTCTGGAGCAATAGTTTTCAGAGAGGGGCGCGATGCACTTAAAGATAGAATTGACATAATAGCTGTTGTCATCGGAGAGATGAAAATACCCGACTCTGACACTATTTCCCATTTGTGTGGCTATTTTCATGATGCAATTTTAACAATCGCAGAAAAATACCCCGAAATTGAAAAAATATCTATGGTGAATCCTGTTGGTGAAGACACCATACTTTACCGGCGTAAAAACAGTTATTGTGTTTTGTCTTGAGTTAAAAAAGACAGAAGTTTGTGCTAAATATGCTTGGTTATAAATTTTGACTGTCATTGGTATTGTCAACGAAAATGTTTTCAAACTAATTATGCTAGATTACGAAGTGACCAATGGACAGAAAATAATGTTTATTTGCTTTTTCTTTATGAGTCCATTTTGTTTTGACGTTGAGGGCGAAGTGACCAATCGACAAAATATATTTACTTGTTAGGGTCTTCCGTCTCCAACGGAAGACCCTTCTATTATTCTATTGTTTCTTTTTTCACTTTTATTATTTTTTTTCTTCTTTCTTTTTCTGTAAATTTTTGTGCAGAAGATTTCTCAGAAATGGCTCGACCGATTTACTTGAAATTTTCAGAGAAAGTGTATCTTTATCTAAACCTTATATGTTTTTTTCATTTTTTTTGAAATTCACTTCCGGTCGGAAGTTATCGCCCTTTCAGTGATTTTTAGACGGTCTCCTTGTCCATAAGTAAGCTCAAAAACGTCATTAGCTAGGGAGCTGAAATTTTCAGCGATGATAGATGACACATTGCTGAATTGCACATTGGATTAAAAAAATTTCAGAAATGGCCAATATGGAAGCTCGTAAGGGGTCAAAATCTAGGACACGAATCATGAGTGAATTTTCGAGACATTTTGTATCATATCTCTTAAAGTATAATTATTTTGTTAAGACATACTGAACAATATTTGTGAGGAATGCCAATATCTTTAATATGATACCAGAAAAAAGTGCCGACTCATCACATTAAGGGCAAAAAGGGGCCAAAAATCTTTAATCGATAACTCTTTATCAGTTAATATTTTGTAATACATTACTGAAGCAAAAATGTTAATCCCAACCATCTACAACTATGTAGTATGATTTTTATGCAGTATGGTACATAATTAGGGGCCACAAGGGGCCAGAATGTTAAATCTTTGACGCTTTATATCTCGAAAATGAGAAATATTTTGATAAGTAATATTGAACAAAAGATGTTCAAAATCATGTTCTGAACAATATGCAACCTTTCATTTTTCGCTAAACGTCCCCATTAAGGAGTTGGCCCCTAAATATTTCTTTTGTAAATAACTATAAAATGAAACAGAATCTCTGAATAGTTGTTGAACAAAAAGAGTTCAAAATCTTCAGAGCTTTCAGAAGAAATCCAGAAAAAGGGGCTGGACCCCTCATTAAGGGCCGAAAGGGGCCAAAATTCTTTAATCGATACCTCTTTAGCAAGCAATATTTTGATATACATTACTGAAGCAAAAATGTTTATCTCAACAATCTACAACTGTATATTATGATTTTAATGTCGTATATTACATAATTAGGGGCCAAAAGGGGCCAACATCCTAAATCTTTGACGCTTTATATCTCGAAAGTGGGAAATATTTTGATAAGTAATATTGAACAAAAGATGTTCAAAATCATGTTCTGAACAATATGCAACCTTTCATTTTTCGCTAAACGTCCCCATTAAGGAGTTGAAGGGTTGGCCCCTAAATATTTCTTTTGCAAATAACTCGAAAACGAAACAGAATCTCTGAATAGTTGTTGAACTAAAAGTTTTCAAAATTATGATAAGTTTAAGGTTAAATCCAGAAAAAGGGGCTGGACACTCAAATTAAGGGCCGAGAGGGGCCAAAGGTCTTTAATCGATAACTCTTTAGCAGGCAATATTTTGTCATACATTACTGAAGCAAAAATGTTTATCTCAACAATCTACAGCTATACGTTATGATTTTGATGTCGTATGTTACATAATTACGGGCCATAAGGGGCCAAAATGCTAAATCTTTGACGCTTTATATCTCGAAAATGAGAGATATATTGATAAGTAATATTGAACAAAAGATGTTCAAAATCATGTTCTGAACAATATGCAACCTTTCATTTTTTGCTAAACGTCCCCATTAAGGAGTTGAGGGGTTGGCCCCTAAATCTTTCTTTTGCAAATAACTCGAAAACGAAACAGAATCTCTGAATAGTTATTGAACAAAAAGTGTTCAAAATCATGAGAGGTTTAAGGTAAAATCCAGAAAAAGGGGCTGAACAATCAAATTAAGGGCCGAGAGGAGCCAAAAGTCTTCAGTCGATAACTCTTTAGCAGGCAATATTTTGTCATACATTACTGAAGCAAAAATGTTTATCTCAACAATCTACAGCTATATATTATGATTTTAATGTCGTATATTACATAATTAGGGGGCTATAAGGGGCCATAATGCTAGGAATAAGTTGGGAATATTTTGATAAGTAATATTGAACAAAAGATGTTCAAAATCATGTTCTGAACAATATGCAACCTTTCATTTTTCGCTACACGTCCCCGTTAGGGAGTTGAAGGGTTGGCCCCTAAATATTTCTTTTGCAAATAACTCGAAAACGAAAAAGAATCTCTGAATAGTTGTTGAACAAAAAGTGATCAAAATCCTTAGAGCTTTCAGATGATGTGAATAAAAAGGGCTGATTCCTAAAATTAGGGGCTGTGAGAGGCCAAAAGCCGATTTTTTAAGTCCTTAATGTTCGATGTTTTTTTACAGGTTATGGAAAATCATCATTTTAGAATGAAAATCTTAATCAAAATCTTATCTCATCTCAACAAGAATCGGACGGAAGACCCACTCGTTGCTCGCAACGAGATCGTATCTAGTTTTTTTCTTATTAGTCCAATTTGTTTTGACGCTCAATCTATTTTCATCTTTTGATACGATTTTTTGATTGTTAGGTAATTCCATTTTGTTTATTGTACAACATTTTGCTTACATTTTATTATGATATTTTGATCCTCGTACTTCCATTTTGTTTAATTGTGCCAATCTTTTTTTTTTTTACAACTTTTTATGTTAATGGTTTGACGATCTTGTTTTATAGTTACTTTCATTTTGTTTTGATGTGTCATATTTTTGTCAGATATTTCTTATGATGTTTTGAGTGTCTTTTGTATATAGTTAGTAGTTACTCCCATTTTATTTTGATGTGCCATCTTTTTTGGTAACTTTTTCTTATGATTTGATTCCCTTGTTTCATAGGTACTTTTTTTAAGTGCCATGATTTTGCTTTAAATTTTTGTATTACTTAAGTCACTCGGATGACGTGTTTTTATGATGTTTTTTGTTCGCCGTCGTGCGTCGTTGGTCGTCTATTACAATTAAACATCTTCAATTTCTTCCATTTTATTTTGAAGTGTCAGTCTTCTTGCGAACTCTTTCTGATAATTTTTTGATTATCCATGTTTTATAGTTACAAGTCTTCCATTTTTTACCCTGGTATGTGCCTTCCTTTTACTTTTTTTCATATAATTTTTTATTATCATGTTTTATTGTTACTTTAATATTTTACCCTGGTGTGTGCCATCTTTTTCCTAATTTTCAATATGATGTTTTGATTCTCCTGCGTAATAGTTACCGGTACTTCTATATATTTTGTTTGAAGTGTATTTTTTCGTAACCTTTTCTCACGTTGATTCCCTTGTTTCATAGGTAACCCCATTTTTAAGTACCATATTTTTGCAACTTTTTATATCACTTAAGTCACTAAGATGATGTGTTTTATCCGTCATCTTCTCTGTGTGTACAACACACTCACAGTTATGATGAACAATACCGGTAGTATATCTTCCAAAATTGTAAAATTCATTACCCCAAAAGTTGTTCTGGTGTTAGGATGGTGTTATTGATTATAAATGTTTACTGAAATCATAATTATTAATAGCCATTCTCTGTAACCACTTAAACTTCGTTGCCACGCATGGTCACCGATTTTGATGAAACTTAACCCATGCTTAGTACTTGACACCAGAAACAAATATCAAACAAAATTTCGTTGCTATGTGTCTCGGTTGCTATGGCAACAGCCGGAAAAGTTTGAAAAATCTAGATTTTCAGCCAATTTAAATCTTGACTGTGGCTTAATAAAAACTAGAAAAAGCAAACAAAACATTCTAACAAAAACATGACACCTTGATGTCACTTATACTGTAAAGAAACTGTTTAGAATATATCTCTAAGTAAGTGGTAACCAAGGGTACATTTGGAATACATTTAAGATGCTGAAATATGCTGAAAAACACTCCGTATTCACTAATGGTAGGTGTTACATGCTCAAACTCAATCAACGACTTAAGAAAAACAATGAAAATGTTTGACCTTAAGTATATAAGTATAAGCAATATTATTCTATAAATAACTTTATGGTTGCCATGGTAACACAGTGTAACCATGTCAAAACCAGTAACTAAGATTGGGTTAATGTTACTGTCTTGAGGAAAAACATGAAAATTCAAGACTGGCAAATATGTATCCGTAGGACCTTGCAACACCAAAAACCATAAGAAAAATTGGGTATAATTGCTACTTTGCAGTGTTACTATGGAAACAAAGTACCGGTGCTTAAAAGTGAATTATTTTTCGCTGCATTAAGAATTAAATTGCCCATCAATCAAGAAACAAATTAAAGGACTCAGCTTGAATAGTACTTATCTGTTAGAACTAAAGTTGAATATCATATATTGATAAAATTTGATGAAGAAAACAACACTGTTGCTATGGTTACCAAGAAGGGAATGTGTTCGATTTTGTGAACTTTATATCAATATTAAACCCTCTGTGCCAACTACTTGCATCCACTTAGAGATTGGATGATAGTCAAAATAAAAAGTCAGGTTAGCTGTTAATAAATATCAATCATAAAAGTTTTGGGAATCTACATTTAAGGGTACGTATCCAAGGAAAGAAAATATTTTTCAGGTTTTTAAGCATACATTTTCTGCTTATTTCCATAGCAACACTCTATTTAAAGAATCTTATCTGAATTTTTTCAAATGGGAAAAATAGGAGCACACCAACATCTTTAAAAATTGATCATTAGTTATGAAGAAATGTGCTTTTTTTTAAAAGATAGAATCAGATTAAAACATACAGAGTGTTACTTTGAAGGCTCTCTGTGGTATAAAAACCTTGGCAACCATTGCCAACCAAAATGAAATATCATATTTTGTTCTTGGTATATGTTTCAAGGCTCTTTTTTCTATTAATTGGTCACATTTCATCCTATAATTGCTTTTTATTTTTCCGTGTATGACTTTATAAAATTCAATG